CACCACCCTCCTCCTCCTCCTCCTCCTCACCACCATCGAACCCCTCCTCTCCCACCTCCAACCCCCCACCTCCCCACCCCTAATCCCGCACCCCATCCCCTTCCTCGGCCACCCCCTCAATTACCTCCTCCACGGCAGCCGACACCTCTCCCACATCGCCGCCTCGCACCCGCACCACGCCATCTTCGCCCTGCAAATGGGGCCGGGGAAAACGGTCGTCGTGCGCGATCCCGCGCTAGCGGCGCACGTGCAAAGGCAGAGTCCCGATAGGAGTTTCTACGGCGCGATACTCGAGGTTACGAAGAGGTTGGTTGGGTTTGATGATAGGGCTATGGAGGTGGTGATGGCGGGTGTTACGCTGCCTTTGAAAGAGGAAAAAGCTGGCGAAGACGACGAGGGGAAAGGAGGGAAGGGTGCAGGGAGCGAAAGAGAAGGAGGAAGAGGAGTAAAAGGAGGAGCAGCAGCACCACCACCCCTAGGCGCCGGCCTCATGAAAGAAAGCCACTTCATGATCGAAGCCGCCCTCTCCCCCGGAAAACACCTCGACTTGCTCATCGCCCAGCAAGCCTCGACGCTCGCGACGCAGCTCCGCGAAGCGCACATCAGCGACACGCCCATATCGCTCATGGCGTTTATACAGCAGCACTTCACATTCGCCTCGGCGCTCACGCTGTACGGCCCGCACAACCCATTCGCAAGGAATCCCTCGCTACTGCGGGATTTCTGGACGTACGAAGCGGGGATGATGAAGATATTGCTGTCCCCTTGGCCGTGGATGACGGCGCGGCGGGCGTGGAAGGCGCGCGAGCGCGTGAATGCCGGTTTTACAGAGTACGTTGAGCGGAGGGGGTATGAGCAAGGGGCGAGCGCGATGATCCGGCAGCGCGTGGGGATGAATTTGAGATATGGGCTGGGGGAGGACGTGGCGGCGAGGAGCGAGTTGATTATGCTGTTTGCGGTGCTGGGGAATGCGGTCCCCGGAACGTTTTGGACCGTGGTGAATTTGTACGGCCGACCGGAGTTGTTGCGGAGGGTGAGGGAGGAGGTGGAGATGAATGCGGTGGTTGAGGAGGAGGAGGAGGACGGTGGGGAGGGAGAAGGAGGGAAGAAGAGAAGACTTATTGACGTTGCACGGCTCAAATCGCATTGCCCGCTCCTCGTTTCTGCGACAAGAGAATCGCTCCGGAGGATCAGCAATATGTCGTCTGTCCGGCTCGTGACGCGGAGCCATACCATCAGCGCGCCGGGGTCGAATCAGCCTTCCTATCTTCTGCAAAAGGGCACGGTGGTCCAGATAGCGAGCGGCGTCATGCATCACGATGAGCAGATTTGGGGCAAGGATGCCGAGGATTTCGTGGCGGAGAGATTCATCAATGCACCATCGGCTACCCTAGGACAGCCGAAGAAGGGCGAGAGCGAGGACAAGACGACGGCGACGGCGTCGATAACGTCACTACCACCCTCCGTTGCGCCCTCCGCATACCGCGTGTTTGGCGGCGGCAGTTCGCTATGTCCCGGGCGGCACTTTGCGATGAGCGAGATCGTGGCGTTTGTAGCGTTGTGCGTGTGCATGTTTGACATGGAGGGGGAGGAGGGAGGGGTGGTGGAGGTGCCGGAGAGGGATGATAGGAGGGTGCCTTTGAGCGTTATGAAGCCTGTGAGAGACGTGAGGGTGAGGATGAGGCGGAGAGGGGGTGGGAGGGAGGAGTGGGGGGTTGTGGTGGAGTTCGTGTCTGGGGGATGAAGTGGAGGAGGGATGACGGTCGTGTTGGTCGTATATTCTAATAAGGAGGCTTTGCTTTGGCAGTAAGTCGATGCTTCTTCTATATCCATGATATGCACCTAGAGTTGTACGTTGAAAGTTAACCACAGCACAAAGAATGGAGTTCTCGACCGAAACGGAGCACTAGGGATGCTCCCATCCAATAAGAGGCCTGGAATTTTCGTAAATCGACCAATCAAACACGAAACTGCCTTTCTTGTATTAAAATTTCCCATTGGAGCATGACATCACTCAGCTCAAACAACAAACAACCCGCCTCTTCTCCCCAAGCTATTCCTTCCTTCCTCCAGCACCGAACCCATCCGAGATCTTCCCTCCTCCAGCACCGAACCCATCCGAGATCTTCCCTCCTCGCAGCACTAACCAACTCAACAAACTGCAGATTTGCATCATCCTAGCAGTATCTCACCGAATTCCCAACCATGGTGTTCTCGACCGCATCCGTCGCACGCGCAGTGGGCCCGCCATCATAATCCTACACCAAAAAAGGAAGCCAAGACATCAACAGATGCATCCATGGTCCGCGGCTAGCGAGTTGAGATGCAAAATGCACACACAAAAGCCACCAGCGTGCGAAGGGGATAAAGAATACAAGTGGTTGTGATTCGTACGTGCATCAGGGATGCCGAGGAAGATGGAAAGTAACGGCATAAGCATAGGGATATCATTTGACTCCGACTTTCTTCCATCTTCCATCTCCTCTTTCTCCTGCTGTTCCCTACTCCTCCTCTTCCTCTTCTCTTCTCCTCGCTTCCCTTCCTCTGTCATCCTTCAACAAAAAGATATGCAAAAAGCATCGCACTTCTCACTCCGACTTTCGAATCAACAAAACGCTCGCCCTGCTACCTCTGTCATCTCTCACTTCGGCACCACCTCGCTCGTGATACTCGCCCTCCTGGCCGCCTGGAACTCGGCCACCTCGTGCGTGGGCGGGCCCTGGTAATGCTTCTTGCCCCACACAAAGTACCACGTGGTGGCAATGACGAAGAAGCCGGCGAAGACGACGGAAGCGTAGTTCATCAGCTCGGCCGTGACGGGGATGGCGGTGGGCATGCAGAAGAGGGGGATGGCGAGGAGGGACCAGGCTGAAGACGAGTCAATGTTAGGGTTCACTCTAGAAAACGCAGGGAGATGATGACTTACCCAGAGCAATGACGTTGGCGACGAGTCCGAAGGCGCCGAAATTGTAGCTCCCTTCGGCGATCAGCTTCCTCCCGCCCAGGACGCTCACCGCAATCGGGCACGCATAGCTGAGCGTCAGGCAAATGACACCCACACCAGAGAAGGCGTTGAAGGCGGCCGAGGACCCGAAATAGATGAGGCCGAGCAACAGCTGCACGGCCATGCTCAGCATCATGGCATTGAGCGGAACATCCAACCTCGCATTCACCGTCTTCCACCACTGCGCTCCCGGAATCGCGCCATCCCTGGCAAACGCCCACGTGCATCTACTCGCCGCCGTGGTGCACGCGATTCCGCACAGGATGCCCAGGACCAGCAGGGGAATCGTCAGGGCAAAGGTGCCGCCGGCGTGCCCGACGGCGTTGTAGATGATGGGTGGCAGGGGCTGGCCGGAGGCGAGGTTGGCGAGGAATTCCTGGTCGGGCATGACGAAGAGGAGGGGGATGAGGAAGAGGCAGCCGCAGGCGAGATTGAGGAGGATGGTGTAGACCATGGCTTTGGGGACCTGGGTCGAGGGGTGGCGGACTTCTTCGCACATGCTACACAGCAAAGTATTAGCACAGACAAAAGGGGATGGGAGAGTCGCTTTGGGACGCGCCGATTCGGGGATTGCCAAGGGAGTGGTGCTTTGGGAAACTGAAGATGGAAGATGGAAGAGGGGGCTCACGAGATGATCATGCCGGTGGACGACGTGACGTAGGCAGCCTGCAACAAGCCAATGCAAAAGGACCAGCCAGCAGGCCAGCCGGACAGGCTGGGGTTGAACTCGCCAAAGACATACGAGGCATCGTTGCGGCCGTTCTTTGCAATGGCCAAGGTGCAGATGACGATTGCGATGACTCCAGCAAAGGTCCAGAAGATGGCAAAGGTCTAGATGAGGCAGGTAAGTAAGGGGCTGAAGACGGGACTTCTGCACAGTTGCGTTGGGGCTCTCACGTCTAACCAAGGTAGCCACTTGTTACCCAGGGCGGAAACGGCATTGCACAGTAAGGTGATGGCCAAGAAGAGCAGATAGACCTGCCATCGGTTGCCCTCCAAGATACCGTCCTCGCCGCCGAAGACGTTCAAACAACCGACGAGGAAGAGGGTGGTCCCGAAGTTGACGGCCAGGGTGATGGTGATGTTGCCAACGACAAAGGACCAGCCGCAGATCCACGATGCGATGTGTCGATATGCGGGATTCGCCAGCATCCACGTCTGGTAGTAGACGCCGCCGGCGGTCGGAAATACAGAGGTGATTTCCCCCAGGGAGATGGCGACGCACAGGATGATGAGGGAGACGCCGACGAAGCCCCAGATGATGTTTGCGGGCCCGCCTCCTACGAGGGGGTAGTAGAAGGTGGTGGAGAGGCCGTAGGGGATGGAGGCCAGGACGAAGGACATGAAGGCCACCTGCAACGTCGAACGGGTCCGCACCAGCTCGGGCTTGTAGCCCATGGCGGCGAGCAGCTCGTCGGCATCGTCGACGCTGACTTCCTCTCCGCCGATGGGCATCCTCTCCTTGCTGCCGGCGCGGTGGTGCAAGTCGTGCGTGGCGGCGTAGGCATCCGACTGCGTGCCGTAGAGCTGGGATCCCGAAGATTCGGCCATGGTTTTCTCGTGGTTGTCGCGTGGGGATATTAATACTCGCGGGCAAGCAGAGTGGCCTGCCGGGTTGTTGTCGCTTGGGGCTTGCAATGCGCAAGAAGGGAAGAAGAGGAAGAGCAGCAAAACGGCAAATCTCTGCGCGGGATTGAGCTCGGGCAATACACGATCCCGGCCTGATTATCTACAGAGAGAAGAAGAGATTGTCAGGACGGAGGAAAGACCCTCGGACGCAACTCCAAAAAAGCCAAGGTTCCCATCTTCAAGGATTTCTGACGTGCGAGGTGCGAGGGCAGACAAGGACGCCATGCCGAATTAAGAAAGTACGAGTGCATTAGCGCGGTTCGGCTGTTCTGAGGACATGGATGCAACAGGTTGGGGACATGAGATGAGATCGACCGCGAGCCCACCGCCCGCCCTGTGATTTCCGGTCGCAAGCCAGCGGGCGGATTTTTTGATATTCAGGGTCAAAACTTTGTTCTTCTGTGGGGAGTTTCGAGACGGTAGTAAACCGAAAAATAACAAAAGCGATCTCCTTTGCATGTGAACTCGAAGGACGATTCTGAGTTCAGCCGCGACAACGACGTCAGTGGCTCGTGCGGTCATGTGGGGGAATTGAGCCAGTCGGCGTCGGTGTCTCCAGTGGCGGTGTTGGTGAAGAGGTGGACTACATGATTGGTGTTGAGATGTCGCTGGGGACATTACTGTGGTATCAGGGGTAAATATTTGACATTCGCCACCAAGGAGACAGGGGTAGGGCACGGGCCATGGAACTGCAGAGAATCTGCCAAGGGTCAGTTTTCATCCTCTCCTATACAGATTACTACTGTTTAGAATAAATTTTTATCTCTAGCTGTATCACCATGGTTATCGTAATTCACCTC